CCTTGATCTTGAACTTCTCGTTTTCTTTGAACGACTCTTTCTTCTTTGTTCGTTATTTTGTTGCACGTTTTCACCAGCCTGCCGTTTCCTTTGTCTTTCAGAATGACCACGTGATCGTGAGCGAGGTCGTTTGGATTTATGCATTTTTTTTTAAAGTGATCCCGGCTTCTGATATAAGAAAAACGACAGAAGCTTTATGTAAGGTTTTATTAATAGTCTACACTGATCGAAAATCGGAGTGAGAATGAATATCATATTCACATATCTGCTGCCATTATCGAGTCGGTTCTATCGTAATTACCCTCACTCCGTCACAAAAACAATATAGTGTCCATATTGATTATCTCTTAAAAGTAAAGTCAATAAAGCAACTTATATTAACTGAAATGTTCATACTTAGCATAAATAATTATATGAATATTAATAATTAACTATACTTAATAATCTAACAATAATTAATTATCTAACATTCATATCTGCTGCCATCATCGAGTCGGTTCTATCGTAATTACCCTCACCTTGTCACAAAAACAATATATCGTCCATATTGATTATCCATTAAAAGTAAAGTCAATACAACAACTCATATTAACTGATATGTTCATACTTAGCATAAATAATTATATGAATATTAATAAATAACAATACGTAATAATCTAACAATAATTAATTATCTAACACTTGTTTTAAAGACTACTGAAAAGGGAAAGTAATATTATAGCGAATATTATATATCTGGTGCTCCTATTTGTAAAGTTGACGTTATTCGTGATCTGGGTGTCTTTTTGGACTCCAAATTACAATTTGCTGCTCACATTGAGCGTATAGCGAGTGCTGCGCTCAAATCATTGGGGTTTGTTCTTAGAAATGCAAGAGAGTTTAAAAAAATCTCAACTGTTATAACACTCTTTAATTGCTTTGTGAGAAGTAAGCTGGAGTATTGCTCTGTAGTCTGGTCACCTCATTACAGTGTTCATGTAAACAGAATTGAGAAAATACAAAAAAGATTCGTAAAATTTATGACATACCACTTTAAAATACCTCAGTCATATTGTAGTTATGAAAACAAATTGCAATCTTTGGGTCTACTCTCGTTACAGTCGCGACGTAAGGTACTGGATATGATGTTTTTACATAAAGTTTTAAATAATGCAATTGATTGCCCGCCGTTGCTCGCTTTAATCGACTTTAACATACCCGTAAGGATTCCAAGGAAACATGCCCCTCTCTTTCGTACTAAGAGGCATAGGACCATCTTAGGCAAAAATACGCCTCTAAATAGGTTAGCACGCACATACAATGATATATCGTTAAAAAAGGGAATTGACATCTTGCATGATAGCCCCGGTAGTTTTAAAAATAAAATTTTGAGTATACTTAATTGAATGGAATGTAATGAATTTTTCATACTCTTTCTTTATTCCTCAATTATATAAATCACATTCATCGTATCACCCTATATGTAATATAATAAATTCACAATTTAATCTATAGTATATTTAATTTTTAATTAATTGTTCTATTTTATTTGTACAAAAATTTATTAACTGTGTGTAATTGTATATATTTTTATTGTCCTTTAAGATGTTAATGTTGTACTAATTTAATAGCATGCTGTAATTACCTCTAATTAAAAGTGCAATCATCATGTTTCTATAGTAACAAAATTATATGTAATTTATTATTGTAACTTTTGTTGGTAATTCTAAATAAATAAATAAATAAATATAGTAATCATGCAATAAGAATTGCCCACAAAGTAGGCCCACAGGTCTGTACTCTCGAAATAAATGTTTTAATAATAGCCATATTATTTATTCATGGGCAAATGGGAAGGTCACTACAAAAGGAGTGAAAGAAAAATTTAATATTTTTCTATTATTTGTATAATAATATATGTACTTACCTATATTCTTTTAAAGTTGACGTGAGTGAGTGAATTATGCTCCGATCATTTTAAATGAGATTTTATAAGATTTACTGGACCCCCACCCTCCATTTTGAGCTCACGTAATTTTTGGATGCCTCCTAGTCAATATTCAATAGATTTAAACTACTTTTAAGACTTTTTCATTTCGAACCATTATATCGTTTATCGTGTTTTACTAATCTAATGTACACTAATATTTTAAATCTAAAGTTTGTAAACTTCGATGCATGGGGCAATCCCTAAAACTAATGACGCGATTCTGAAAATTCTTTTATAAATAGGATTTGATCGTAATAGGCAACATTATTGCCCAGTGCTATAGGCTATTTCTATTACGATAAAAATGTGTTTACTCACAAAAATCATAATAACTTTAATTGAGGTCGGGAAAAAACTGTACGTTGATTTGCGCTGTTATTATTTAGGCATAGGCTGCCTAAACGATTTAAAATAGAGCAATATATGGCAAAAAGACAACTTGAGAGTTAATACGCACCCGAGCGAATTGTCAGTCGTAATTCGTAAATCGTAAGTCTGGGTTGGACTAGTCTGTATATCTGTATAAATATTATAAATGTGAAAATTTGTAAGTATGTATGGATGGATGTTTGCAACTCTTTCACGCCAGAACGGCTGTACGGATATGGATGACATTTGTCAGAGAGATAAATTATAGTCTGGAATAACACATAGGCTACTTTTTATCCGGGAAAAATATACGGTTTTCGAGGGATAGTTATTTTTTGTTTTTCCAGAGGCGAACCCGAGCGAAGCGCGGGTAAACCGCTAGTTAAAAGTATAATAAATTTATTTATTTGATACATTACCCTCTCATTTTATTTAATAAACGAATGAATAAAACAATGGAAATGTTTAAAGCGGATGAACAAATGACGTGTTCCTGTCGCGTGTTAGTTGCCATGAGGTCGGTACAATGTACATTGATTAAGAATCACGTAATGCCTCTATACTCTTTATACTTCTTTAATAAACTATTTCTCCATAAAAATAATGGAGATTGATAGCGTATTTATTTTTCATAGTTTCTTTAAACCAAGCCTGTTCCTTATAAGTATAATCTACTGTCTATTTTCTGTGTACTGTTGTATTTGACTAAAAAAGTCACTTGCACATTTGATGTATTACACTTCAATGATTATATTCAAAGTTAAAAATACTTAAGTTTCCACATGACATTACGATTCCACAAACACCAAGTTATTGGTTTTACTCAAAAATGTATGTAACTGTTGTAATTTAATCCTTATTAAAGTTTCAAGAGGTACAAATTCATTTGGGCCCTTCAATAAACCAAGTAACGAGGTCATTCGTCATAACGAAACGATAATGTTATAATCAACGGTTCCGTAGCTCACAATCAATTGTCATCAATCGTTAGACATATATGTATTAAGGCCTATTTTTCGGGTTTTCCTAAAAGGATGTTCCTGAGTTACTTTCTTTTACATGAGGATGTGTAAGTAAATTGGAAGAGTTCATATCAATTAAAAGTAATGTATACATTAACACGACCAATATGAAAAGAATGGTGACACGTTTACTGGGAATGCGCATTTAAATTGATCGTATTAGACTATCGTACTAGTCTATCGTGTGCCTTTAAATGATGTTTAATATCATACTAATATAGGGTTTTCAATTCAAACAAATTTATAAACGCATTCTGATAGAATTAAGTAAACGTTCGACAACCAAATCGGCATCTAGTAACATAATAGGCGCAGGAATATTTTTGCATTAGTTATTGTGAACTGCCGTATATGTTATTATAATCTTCTTCTCCCTCCCCATTTCCCAATCACTTGGTGTCGGCGCAGTACATCTTCTGTACTGCTGAAAGGATTTGGCAAAAGTTTTACGACCGGCCGCCTGCCTGACGTCAACCTTCCTTGGGAATATGTTATTATAATATTATTTTATATATAACCCCTTTTTCACACACCTAATAACATAACTGTTTTAGTTATATGATGAAATTAAGTGTTTTTGTAACAGTATACTTTTTAGCAAAATTTACTTAAAAACATATTCGCAATAATACCGAAAAGAGTTGTTGAAGCATTAATCGCAACCCTACATTATCGTCATTATTAAACGATTTGTTGAATTGTGATGTAGTCAACATAGAAACTTTAGCTACAAACGCGAAATGATTTGTTTACGAATGATAAATATTATTAATAAAGATCAAATCCCGTTAGGCTAAAACGTGTTTATGACATAAAACGTTAAATTAGGTCAATAATAGCAATATATATATATATATATACTTGAATAAAAAATATATTTAGAAAAATGAAACACCACGCACGTCACGCGTTTAAGGCGAACTAAAAATATGACAAGTCGACAAAGGTACATATTATGCAATCAGAGATATACATATGTACATGTTTTATAATAGCTGCGTGTGTGTACAAATTACATCTAAATCTCATTCGATAGGCTTTGAGGAAATTTTTTTTAAGTCTGCTATTTTAATTTTTATAGTTTTGATATAGGTACCCAGTGTCACTCTCACAACTAAGACGAATCTAAACCTCTCAAGGTAAAATCCGTCAAGCCGCGTAGGCTGAAGAGCGTGCCAAAGAAATATACATACTTACGTACATTCGAAAAACATAACCCTCTTTCTAGCGAAGTCGGGTAAAAAATAAGTTTTTATCACAAAAAATTATAATATGTATAACCTACGGTTAGGATTATATAATTTGTAACTTGTTATTTTTGGGAGTTCAGTAAAACTGAAAAGTCGATATCTATCTCCGGAATGCCAAATATTTTGATATGAAAATAATCAGAAAGTTCTGATCGATATATAATATCAAATATTTAATAACTACGCGAGTGTTTGATTTTTGTGAGGGACTTAATGCTTTAGTAATAACTGATAGTTTAAACTTTATACTATGAATGTTATATATACAATAGAATAGAATAAAATGATCAAATAATTGTATTTGAAAATTAAAATGACAAAAAAATTGTTATCGCATGTCATTGTCTAGCAACAAATTCGATTCCGAACGAAATTTCCAATCACACCCACCTCTAGACGTGCCTTCGCAAATAATAAGCATCTGCAGAGCATATCCCACGGCGGCGTTCGATATTAAACTAAGCGACAACTTAGTGGTCAAGCTGATGTCCTCGTACAGCATCTGCGTGAGCATGTACGCGGCGTACGTCGAGAACCACATCAGACCCATGAACGACGCCGCAGTATTGGCTGGAAAACGTTACAAGTTATAATATCATACAAAAATTATATGCTATTGAGCTTGACTCGTAACCTTCCACGTGAACACTTTGTATATTAACAGGTGTATTTCTCAGTATTTTCTTTATGGAATTATTTCTTATTTAATATCGATTTTTCAACTCATGTGAGTTATCGTAATTTTATCTGCGCAGATATTCAATAAGTACTTGTATTGAATGGTATGAAATATACCATTATATGAATGTAGAATCTACATTAAATTGGTCAAATTAAATTGATACAATTTTATAGTTATATTTAATTGGAGCCTCAAAACACACACGATTGCTAGTATCCTTTTATAATTGTATGATCTATATCTCTATAGATTTTGTTTTTTATATTCTTCATTTAATCTTTTATTTCACTCATTAATTCTTTATTTAATGTTATTATGATTATGATGAAAGCAAATCTGCAGTATGTGTACAGATAGGTATACCTATATGTATGTATATTGTATAACGAATATTGGAGATACTTATACGATATCTATTCTAAATGAAAAGCCCCGTTTAGTTATTTTTTACATTTTAGTGCCTGGAAATCGGTTCTTTTTCTATTCCGAGATTTTGAATGCTTCACATTAAACATAGGGGACACTAAGATTTTAGACATCATGGGAGATACTAAGGTTTTTGAGGTCTCAAAGTGCGTACTTACAAAAATCATACAATTAAAAAGAAATACTTTCTTAGATTTAAGGGAATATTTGACGTTTTAAATAAAACAGAATGATTTCAACAATTCAAAGGGCTATAGGTCATTATACATATATTTTTTAGTTGTTACATATAATGACCTTTGGGACGTCTTAAACTTTAGTCTCTCCCGTGACCATGATTGTTGTAAAGCATTCGAAATTACGAATTAAAAAACGGGAGCCAAAACTAAATACACGAAAAAAATCCGAATCAATAGTTTTATTTAAAATGTTAAATATTAACGAAAGTCTAAGATAGTATTATACGTACAGTTGGTTAAAAATAAATATCTTACCTCTAGTAAAAAATACGCTGACCATGAAGCTGAACGACAGCGACGCTATGATGAAAAGCGTTAAAAAGAAAAATAAAACGGACCACGGTGTAAACGTCAAAACTGCATAGCCCTCACCGTCTTTCGTTGAGTTAAAGGGTATCTAAAATTATTATTTACATGTTAAAACGTATCATTTACATATGAATTGTTTATGACTAAACCTTGGCTAAACACATAAGTATACGTAATTTTATAGACAGAACTTCAACTTCCTACGAATCATACACAAGACTTCTAACGATGACGATTATCTTAATATGGATTTTTATTTAAAATGTTGTCTTTACAAAAATAAGTATCTTTGCAAGTAGGAAAATATGTATCTCAATAGGCAAGCAATTCAGCAAAAAATGTGCGGGAAAAAACAGATACTCAGTAGGTACACTGTTCATGTTTTAGATTTATGAACAATACAAGGTATTACTCAACAACAAATTATTGTCTTAATACTTTAATTCGAATAATATGTACTTGAGACGTACATATTAACTCGTATTTTTAATTTATATTAAAATATTTATATGATATAGTGATTGATTGTAGCACATATTTTAAACTAGCATAGATAGTATAGATAAGTTAAGAACCTTGTTCCATTTTAGGCCATATATAGCGAACAGCAATAAAATATAAATCTGTTTTCTGTATGGGATATAATAAACTATAAAGGTAATGTTAAAATGTTTAATTCATCATCAGAGCTGTCAAAATATGCTATTTATTTGTTGGGATGATGGTTTAATTGTCTTACCAAGATGACTAACGTAGCCTAGATACCATATATTTAACAGTAATTACATAGGGTACAACGTCCGACTGCACGTGCCCCATTTTTGCAAGTACAGTAGGTTTGTACGTGTACGTGCCCTTATTGCATCCTTTTCATTACAGTCTCGTTTAACTAATATGTAAACGTAATATTAAGTTTGGAATGAACTCTCGCCTTTAAAAACTATCGATTAGGTACAACGATTCCACTAATATATTCTGGGTTTTGAGCAAATAAACATTGTTTTACCTTAACCAAAAGTAGACCAAATGTTGTAATTTGATAAGTTACGAGTATATAATATGCAATCACGCATACAAGATTAGCTAATAAGACCTGCGATTTGTTGATGTTCTAGCTCCTCTTTCATTAGGTATATACATTTTAACTGTTCGCGCATGGCCCAGTACCAGTAGCCCTAGTAGCTGGGACACGGTTCTTTCAGATTTTTATTAAAATTAAACATTATTTCTATTGTTTTAGTTTTGTAAGGCTTACCTTAAATAATATGACCATAAGTGTAATAGATATCAATAAAAATGAGAATTGTTTGATGAACCAGGCTAGCCAATGTAGCCAAGATGGCAGTCCCATTATTGTCATGGTTTCCTGGAATAAGGAAAATATTATATTACCTATTCAAAAGTGACACGGTGTCTGAATGGCACCGCCCTGTGTACATCTGAAATAACAAGTTCGATTCTCGCGAAAAGTGAAAAGATATGACTAAAATAAAGATGTTTATCGTAATGTACGTGTTGTGCGTACAAAATCACGTAAAGAATTTACAATAAGCAACAATTATATAACGAAGATAATCATTATGATCCGATCTTTGGCCATCCAGGCCTCTTATGGGATTTTGGTATGAACAATTCACAACATCAACGAGGCAATCTAACTAAAAATAGATTTATTAAATGGGTCGGTTTAGATCTTCTGTAATGCCGATAAACCTGTAGGGTTGTGCTTCAGCTTATGCGTTAGATATTATTTAAGAAACCATATTGAACATACATTGTATTGTAACAAACGACAAAATCGTAGCATGAAATAAATATACATAATTATTCATATTTATATTATAGGCGACAAATAACCTTAGAAGTAACTAAATTCCCAAAATCATTGAAATTTTATCCACAATCTACCTGTTTGATGTTTTATTGTTGTTTTGTATTTGTATTGGATGTTTGTTACTCAATCACGCCAGATCGGCTGAATGGATCTGGATGAAATTTGGCACAGAAATAGATTTAGTTTAGAATAGCAAATAAGCTACTTTTTTATCCCCGAAAAATGTACGATTCCCGTGGGATAGATTTGTTTTCATTTTTCTAAAGGCGAACCCGAGCGATGCGAGTCGAAGGCGAAGATCTTCTTTCCGATCTTTTGCACACACAAACAAATATTCGTTATATGTACTTAATCTGTTTATGACGAATAAAAAAACAGATTGTAAAAAGTATCATTAAGTTCCCCGTCATGAGATTGATCACGCCCCTATAATTAACTCACTAAATAGTCTCGCACTTGTAAAGGAATTTAGCTTGGTGCTGCTAAATTATATTGTATACATTTTAACTTAACCAAATTTACCATAAAGAAATAATAATGCTGCATCGCGGAAAAATATTAACATACCTAAATGTTAATTGGCATTGGAATTTAAAAGTTCAAAAAGCTTTAACATATGCATAACGACGGAATATTTTATAAATATCATAAATTATAAAATATTATCCTATTTTTATAACTTGTTATGGAAACATCGATAAGAAAGATTGATGTAGTGGCTAGCATGTACGGCTGCACACCCGGAGGTCCTGGGTTCGAGTCCCGGGTCGGGCCAAGTTTAGTTATTGATTCTTTCTGTATAAGTAAGTCTCAGTAACAGCCCGGAGTTGGGAAGATGGCGGTGTTTCACCGTCCCGTGCCTCGGAGAGCACGTAAAGCCGTCGGTCCTGCGCCTTAACTCTTACCGGTCGTGTCGAGCAGTCGTCCCACCGGAGTATGAGAGTGACAGGAATAGAGAGTGCACGTTGTGTCTGCGCGTACACTTGTGCACTATAATATCTCCTGCGCAGTTGGCTAGTCTCAATGAGATTGGCCGCCGTGGCCGGAATCGGTCAGGAGAACATCATATCATCATCATTAGTATATTATTCATTTTATACTAAAGTAAAAATTTATGTGCGATTCAAATTACAAAGAAATGTACCAAAAAAGTTTTTATGAATGCTTGTTATGCTCTACATACTTTATGCCTTTCGACTTCACACGCACTGAAAGTAAGTGTCCAAATTGATAATTTGCAACATTGTACACTGCAACTTGTTTAATATTAAAGCCATGGTCATGGTTTACAATAAAAGCTCGAGAAGTTCTATTTGAATCACGTAAATCTATGGAAAAAAAGTAAAACTGCTGGCTGTTTTAATGTATTTTCATAAGAATCTTTCTTATTAGAAAACTAGCGTCTCACGTTCGCTTCGCTCGGGTTCGTCACTAGGTACGGTTAGTTTTAACGGTTAGTATGAAATACAAATCGAATTTCTCGGCTTTTGTGTATTATAATATGCATGTATTTTACATATAAGCCTTCCTCTTGGATCACTCTATCTATTGCTAAAAACTGCATTATAATCCGTTGAGTAGTTTAAAAGATCTTCGCGAACAGACAGCGGAAGCGACTTCATTTTATACTATGTAAAGAAGAATATTCAAACCATATTAATAATGTTTTGGCTGGTATGGGAATTTAACGTTTTTAATTTTTATCATCTTTTAACTTTGACTATTAACATTGTCATACAAAATCCTGATTTCATGACTACGCTATATTTAATCCACTTTAAGTGAGATAATGTGTGCATCACTACAAATGCTATTCGAAAATAGAAACCAATATTTTAAGTTGCGATGGAGTATAGTAGAGTAATAAGCATATTTATTATTTTTTAATATTTGGTACCAATCTATTAAGGATTTTATATGTGACTTTCAATAGGTACACTTTACTAATAACAATTCGTACTCATCATATTATGTATAATTTATTTTTAACGATGGACTTTACAGAAATAACAGCAATAGCTACTACGTTTTTCGAAAATATGGTAAACACTAGCGACTCACCCTCGCATCGCTCGGGCTCGTCCGTAGGTACAATTTTTTTTTAACGGAACCCTAATTCTTTTACTGAAATAAAAGTAGCCTAAGTTACTCCTTATAACATCAACTACCTGCCAGTGAAAGTCCCGTCAAAATAGGCCCAGCCGTCTCGGAGATTAGCCAGAACAAACAGACGGACAATTTTTTTTTAAATTGTGTTTTTTTTTCATAAATACCGTATATAATTCCATAAGCATTCAGTAAAACGGTGTTATTTTGACATTACAAACAGACACTTCAATTGTATTTACCTGTAGAGTACCTGTGAGTATAGACGAAGTCAAACTTACCTTTAGCTGCATTTCCTTTTCAGCCGTAACCACTCGGACAGTATTTACGAAAGTGTAGGCGAAGCACATCATTATTATCATAGATATGAATCTTTCCATAGCAACAAGTAAATCGTCCTGTCTATACGAGTGCTGAGGTAGACGTTGGAGGTATACTTTAGTGTTTATTGACTTTCCACTTTTTTGTTTTATAATTTCCTGGGAAACAGCGTGTTGTACGGCTAGGAACATTTCCGGGGAATACCCTACAAACATGTCCATATGTAGATAAACATCAATAATGAATATAAATAAATAAATATGTTGGGACATTAATGCACCATCTGGTTCCATGGTAGGCTACGAGGCTTGTGTTATGGATACCAGATAGTTGATACACTACACATATATAACTTTAAATACATACATATTATAAATATAAACACCCATGACTGGAGTACAAACATTCGAGCTCATCACACAATGAATGTCCCCAGCGGGACTCGAACCCGCGACCGCTGGCACAGCAAGTAGGGTCACTACACACTGAGCCAAACGTTTCGTCTAAATATGAGAACAGTGTTATTTTTATTGCAAAAAATAACATGTACCATACGACAATGATGACGTGTCTAATATTTAAGACGCATCAAATATTAAGTAAAAATCGATATTTATGTCAATACATACTTAAGAGACACAAAATTCAGATTTCCTAATAAAACATTAAAATCGCTATTTTCATTTAGTTGATTTAATATAATATTTATATACTAATTTTGTACTACATTGAAGAATCTCACGACAATTATTTTACTCATATTCGAGAGATCTAAAGGGAAAGTACAAACGAAAATACGTTTTAATTAAAAAGTTAAAAAAAATTATAAGCTTTTAATTTTTTCTCAAGAACATTATTTATTTTAATAAAATATAATTAATTTTTTTCCATTGCTTTTGGTAACACTCAATTGTTTGATAATAATGTCAAACCTGGCATTTTCCCTCCATACATGTCGTTAGGTTCTCTAGGGCCTGGCAGAGGAAAGAGGGGGAATAAGAGATTTGTTCTCCAACTTATTCTCAAGGGATGTTCTAACATCGGAGTTCTCATCACTGCCGGGAATCTCAATGTTACTTTTATATCATCTGGCCATTCTGTTGCATCTACAATATATCATTCTTTTTACATAATGGAATTTATGAAAAAAAAACAATAAAAATGTATAAAAACAATATCTTTGTTTTGTTTACTGTAGCATTAATCTATACATATAATAAAATTGTAACTAAGTCAAATCTGTACATTAAATATTTTTTGGAAAATCTTATTGAAATAAACATTATTATCGATACAAAGGCCGAACCTATAGTTTTTAGAATTTTTGTCTGTCTGTCTGTTACTGCATTACAGAAAAACCACTGGAGAGATTTTGATGAAATTTGGTATGGTGATAGCTAGTTATCCGGCTCAACATATAGGATACTTTTTACCGCGGGAAAATGTCTCATTTCTGAGAAAAAATACAAAAACTGCAATGTAAAGAGTATACTAATATGTAAAATCTAAGAATTTGGTGTTTGGTCATCTGAACGCAGACGGAGCCACGGTCAATGTTATTTAGGTAATATTTTGTTATCTAATATAAAAATATCTTACCTAATAATTTATTAATTAATAATATTTATTACTCACTGGCCATGTGATCATCAAACTGAATACCAACAAGGATGTGATTCATTACATTTGGTTGTGACAGGGCAGCCTCCAGTTCTTCTGAATTATTATATCCTTTAGGTGTTGGGAGCATTTTTGTGTCAAAGAAGAGAGCTACAAATCCATTTAGATTATCTAAAGCAACCATTGCCATTGCATCTTCCGTTACCTTTCTTGTTAACGGATTTTCTGGAGAAAATGCTAAAGTTCCTTCTCTTTTTGCCGATGTGAGATTCCCTCTAAATAATATTTGCATATACATAATGTTAAATTAATATACAGTTAAAATAGCAATAAACAATATTGAAATTTTGATGCTACTTACAACTGCTTCCCACTGATATTGAAATATGTTGGGAGAAAAGGTGAATATGAAACATCGGGCTTTGATTGTGGATCGACAAGACATCTTATTAATATTAAAAATAACGAAAATATCACAGGAGATGCTATTTCAAATAATGTTTGCCATTTATGTCTTCTTTGTAGAAGAAAATTTTTCCAAATTAAAAGTTTCAATTTATCAAACGAAGACATTATTTATAATACTGAAAATAATGTTTGTATTAAAATGTGAATATATTATTTAAATAATATAATTTATTGTTCTAAAACCAATATTAATTATTCACGTAACAATGCATACAGTATTGCGACGAATAGGATATACGAAACGTTAGAAGTTTAGTACGGCAACAATTTAATATTAGCTTATTGGTTTTTCCGAAAGATATTATAAAAATAGGAAAACCATAAATCCATAGTACCTACTACCTAAACAAAAATAACTTACCCAAACATTTCACTTTATTATCACGTATTTAATTGATTTTTCGATTTCACTAAACACTTAAGTCAGACCCAATTCAAATAATTTATCAAAATCATAAATTAACATTAATTAAGTAACGAGCCAATAGTCTGCTTTTTAATGTTTAAATCACACAGAATATAGTCCCGGAACAACAAGATAGACAGCCAATCTCCATAGACAAGATTGTGCCTAGTAATTTGACATATATAAATTTTAAACGTAATAGGTCTATGACATAATTGTTATCAATTTGTTCACAGACTAAAAATTATCATCCCTGATCTGTAAATTTAGTTATGTATTGTCATTCGAGTTCGACGTTGTTTTTGACTTTATAATTTATATGCTTTAGTAAAGCCTCAGTCCACAAGAGTGGTAATGCATTAGATTTCGTCCACTGCACTGGCGATGAAACTCTTCTCGTGTGCTATGTGAATGCTACTCCTTCAGATTTAGATCGCCTATAATATTTTATTGTATAGAGTCTGGACGCTCGCACCGGATTTCACAATTATTGCGTTGTTTAAGGAACAAAGATACCCCTTATTGACCTTAGAGAAAAAGAGTTGTATACCATTTTCATCAGTAATTTACTACATATTTTATACAAATATGCTGTTTTATGTATATAACTATAAACTATTACTACAAAAAATATACGTAGTGAAATCTTTATTGATTAAAAGCCTCGATTTTATGCTCTAAGAACTAGTCCAAGTTTTCCTAATCTGTGCAAATAGTCACAGACTTTGTGTACAATGTACATTAATTTATAGTCTATAGACAATATGGCGCATATGTCAGTAGCATATCAATGTTTTCTAATTGGTATTTCCTAGATTTCATAATTTATTAAATGTAAGATATTTTTAATTCAGTATTTTATTATGTCTACTAGTAATTTGTCATCGGTTTTAAAATCATGTTCCGAAAGTGAACTGATAAATGAAGTAGCAGAAGCGAACATGACACCAAAACAGGTAGAGGGATCCCGATTAAAGCGTACTTTTACCTTGCCTCGTAATCCCTTTGGGACATCAAAGCCCAGTTCAAGTAAAAACAAGATCACTGAAAATGATAATAAGTCTTCTAGTGCAAACTCTGTGATTAACGTTGCGCAAAAAGATGAGGTTGGCTTGGAAAGGAAATTGTTCAGAAGGCCGTCGTGGAAAATATTCTTGAATAAAATCGCGCAACATATGAGTACTGTAAATGTGTCGAGTGTAAGTTGCAATTTAGATTTTTTAAGAGTATGTTTATTTAAAAATATATTGGAGTAACATTACAAGTGCCTTTTAGGTAAAGTCTGGACCAGTTGCTATAAATAGCGATCGAGTACCATGTAGTGGAGAACCACCATGGCCTCCAGGGACCGTGCCTGCTGCTACTGGAATCAAAAATCATGGGAATACTTGCTATATGAATGCTGTGTTACAGTGCCTTTCACATACTGATGTTATAGCGGAATATTTTGTTTTAGAACATTATAAGGTACATATACATAATGAATATTATATTAATGAAATTAAAGTATTTCTAGTTGTACAATATCTTCATACGACACAGATTTGAGCTTATATAACTTATGTATACTTATTCAATGTTTAGGATTTGCATAACTTAACTATTAGTATTCATTCATTAAAAAAATGTATTAATTTAACACTAATAAAATACTTTGAATTTTGAATTTTTATATTTTTTTTATGATCACTTAATAGTAAGTAACTAGCTAATTCATGAGAATACATATGTAATTTTAGATTGATTTACAAAAGAGAAATAAGATAAATTCAAAAAAATATGGTACTAAAGGAGAAGTAACAGAACAATTGGCAGCTTTACTGAGGGCACTATGGTCTTGTCGATATACACCAGATATGAGTACAACTTTTAAGGTTTGTAAAAATATTTAACCTATTTCAAAAAAAAAAACATGTATTTTGAATTTTTTGTTGTTTTGTTAATATCTTGGCCATTTATATTAGCGTTGTTTTTATGTATGTATCAAGTAATAAAAGAACTATAGATTATTATTAGAAATTAATCAGCTATGAGAACACAACATACAAATACCAAAAGACAAAACTGTCATGATTGACATGAAAAAATAAGCAATATGTGTAAATCAGTTATAACACCTTTTACTATTTCAATATGAATAAACTATATTTTATTTCTTTGAATGATTTCAATTTCTTATTTATATATCTATAAGTAATTTATTATATTTAATTGCTGTTTGATTTTATCATGACTGAAACACAAATTCTATATCATTTTATTATATTTTCAGTCAGCAGTAGAAAGGCATGGCTCTCAGTATAGGGGAAATAGTCAGCATGATGCTCAGGAATTTCTTTTTTGGCTTCTTGATAAAGTCCACGAAGACTTGAATACTGCTACAAAGAAAAAATATAAAACAATAAAAGTAAGTTACAAAAAAAAAATTTGCTGTCTAAGGCATAGTGTGGCGATTCCTTAATTTTAAATAGTATATTTTATATGTATAAGTTATGCGAGATTATTACATATTGATTAAACAATAAATCTGCCTTTTTTTGTTTGTAATTATATGCTTCTATGTCGCATTGGCACTTATAAGGCACTGATAACTCAGTGGTAGCAAGATCTTTTATAATTTAATGTGTGAACTAATTTTCGAAAGAGGTGTGTATTCTGCCAACTCGCACTTGGTCAGGGTGGTGGAGTATGGCCTGAACACCCTCACATTGAAGGGAAGACTGTGTGTGAATGCATACATGTTTTTTCTATTAATGTATTGGTATTGTACAGATTTATTTTTTACTAGTCATTTAGTTTTATACTAAATACTTTTTTGGATATATATATATATATATATATATATATATATATATATATATATACATTTTAATTATTATTTTAGAATACAGTAGGCAAATCAGATGAAGTAGTTGCAGCAGAAACATTAGCAAATCATGCACGACGAAATAGTTCCTTTGTACAAGCGGTTTTTCAGGCTCAGTACAGGTAATAATATTTGTGTATTATTGGATGTTACATTTACTACATTGTATTTAATGGTTTAAAAGGTTATTTTTGTTAAAGAAATAAATGTTTCTATGTTATGATTGTTAAATTCAAAAACTAATCTTAATAATTTAGTATCTATACCTAATATTATAAACCTGAAAGGATCTTGTTTTCTCTGAACACTAACCTAGGAAGTACCAGTCAGTGCAATATAATTTATGTATTTTATAGAGTACTAGTGACTCACCCTCACTTCGCGAGGGTTCGTCCCTAGGTACGTTTTAAATTAAAATGGATTTAGTATGTTATCCTTAAGGGATTGCCATCGCGGACTTTTCTGTAGACCTATATAAGATACACAATTCCACCATACATTATTTTGTTATATCTCAAAGGGTTTAGGCAGCGTTTTCGTTGAAAACTCCCAGACGTCTTATTTTTTCCGACACCTCCGACAAATATCGTTATATTTTAGCCAATGTATACAAAACCTTAACAAATTATATACTAGAACCTTCCTCTTGAATCACTCTATCTATAAAAAAAACCGCATCAAAATCCGTTGCGTAGTTTTAAAGATTTAAGCATACATAGGGATATAGGGACAGAGAAAGCGACTTTGTTTTATACTATGTAGTGATTTATTGTGGAGGATTACATATACACACTTCAACAGTGAAGCAATGGTAAATAAATAAACTCTGTGGGTGGAGCTGCTATAAAAGGCTAGTGACATAACCAGAAAATTATACAATACTATTAAACGAAATACTAGCAACTTACCTTTGCTATGCTCCAGTGTGCACCTAGGTGTCTAACAATAACCTATGTGTCACTCCAGATCCTATTTGTGTACTAATTTTCATCAAAATTTGTCCAGTCTCTTCAGCATGTAGGAGTAACAAATACAATCATACAAACTTTCTCATTTATAATAGTAGTCCAAAATATTATATATTATAGCAATATATTTAATAATTAAATTTTAGGTCAGCACTTACATGTGCAAAGTGCGAGCGTACCTCCTGTACATTTGACCCATTTCACTGTGTGAGTGTTCAGTTGCCTACTAGACCAGCTACAGCTCAGCCTTCTCCACTGCCTGTCAATGTGAGTACTGTTCTTATTACAAACATATGTACATATTATGTAAATATAATCTGCCAGAGTTTCATCACAATCAGATCAATGGCTGAAGAACGCATAGAGGACAAACATACAAACATTCATTTTTATTGCATACATAAATATAATATGCCATATCCCTTTAACAGGTACTCTACAGCTTTGTAAAAAATATTATATAATATAGTTATCAAATAAATAATTTACCATCTTAATTTTAATTTCTGTATCTGGACTTTCTGCATTTAACTACACCAAGAGTGCTACATTGTAAAAATAATTAAATGAATCAATACGCTTGAAATATTACAATAGAATATATTTTTATATGTTATTGTTGTTTTGATTAAGCCAATGCTAAATTGTTATGCCATTTGCACCTATTTATTAGGGGAAATTTTTATTTCAGGTTGTGTATGTAAACCAGCAGCCTCGACAAGTGCGCATAGGTGTGGAATTACCTCCAAATTCAACAATGGATGACCTTAGAACAACATTGCACACAGACACTGGCATTGATCGAGACCACATTATCCTTGCCGAGATCAATGAGAATGGTATTTACATTTTTCCTCTTATATATTATTTAGGAACTGACTTCTATCTATGTTGTTTGTATCCTTCCTGTATGGATATTATAATATAAACAATGGTCTTTACTTTGTTGATGTTTTTATATTTGATATGAAAGAATATTTTTTCTTATGTAGTGTAGGTTAATGGCAACAGGACCAACTATAGGTAAATCTGACATAGACAATTGTTTTTTAAGGCACATTTTACTACATTACGATTAACAGCTTACAATATTTGGAGTCATTAAGTTTGAATTGTTGTGTAACTGTTGTTTGTTTCCCAAAAGTTTTTTCTAAACGGGGGTTTTCATTTACTATAGGCATAATCAGACATTTTCAAAGTGGGTACCAGCTGATGCAAAGCAAAGCAAATCTATTTCGATACGTAACTATAATACTATAATGAAATTAAATTTAAAACTTTTTCATATTTACCTATTAGATATTAATATCTTAAAGCATTGTCAGCTGGCGCCAACTTTGAAAATATCTGATTAGGTATCTTAAATAGTAAATGAAAACCCCCATTCAGTTATTTTTGACTTTTTAGTATTTTTTTTGAAGTCGATTTAGTTTTTTTAAATTATTTTTATTAATCTGGTATCCTTATGGTGTCATAAGGCGCCCAATAAGTAATATTAATATAAATACCAGTGGCGAAGAGTCCATACAAGATGTTTTATCATAAAATTATTTTGCTGTATGTATAAATGTAATTTTGGAATATTATATATATGTATATATAATAATAATAGCTTTATTTCTTTCTCTATAATTTTCTCATATAAAAATGGTATATTTTTGGAACGGCTTCAGGGTGAAATTTTAGCAAAGATTTCACCCTTTGCCACTGATAATTACAAGGACACGTGTGGTCGCAGGGTGGTGCGCGGGGCGCGCGGGCTGGGAGCCGGCGGGGCTGGAGGCGGGCGCGCTGTACTGCGTGGAGGCGCCGGCGCTGCTGCAGCCGCCCGCCGCGCCCTACCTGCTGCTGCTCTGGGTCAACATGCTGGACGGGGAGAGGTTTGGTATGTGCCTGTATAATATGTACTTGTTGTATAACTCGACTAGCGACTTAGTTGTATTTTTGTCATACATTTTATTGGTTTATTTCAAAACATTTAGGCGATTAAGTAACCCAACGGCCTGTTTTTTTTCTGACTTTAATTAAAGTTATTATAGTTTCTGACAGTTAGTATTATAAAGTAGGCGCTAGGGGGTAACAAAGCTTCGTATTAGTGAAAGAATTTTCAGTAGTTTCAGAGATGAACCCATACATCCAAACTTACAAATTTAAAAATATTACATCTATAATATATGTATATCAATTACCATGTGAAAGTATTATTTAAAATGTCATATATTTGCTTAAAAATCTAAGAAAGTATCTTAACTAAACTTAATATCTTACTCGAGCTAACCTTTTTGTAAAAATGTTTGTATTTGAAAATAAAATGAATACCTTTATAATATATTGACGCCTATTTAATTAAAAAAGAGCAAACCCACTAAACACAGCATATATCCAGGCTCGCCCTACGCCATGCAAGTGCCGCGCGAGATCTCGTACTCGGACCTGCAGAAGCTGATGCTGAAGGAGATGTGCCAGGTGGTGGCGGAGCGCGTGCTGGAGAGCGCGCAGGCCGCCGACATCTTCCGCGCGCGCGTCGCCGAGGCGCACCGCCCGCGCGACCCCGCCTACCTGCAGCCGGAGGTTGTTAGCACTGTGTACTGTCTGTCTGTCCCTATGTACGCTTAGATCTTTAAAACTACGCAACGGATTTTGATGCGGCTATTTTTAATAAATAGAGTGATTTAAGAGAAAGGTTTATATGTACAATACAGCCGAGAAACTCAAAGATTTGTATTTCAAATATATTTTTTTGCGCGGAATCATAATACCTTTTTCTATACATATAATAAGATCATAACTGAGTCTAAGAGAGTTTTGGAAAATCTTATAAAAATAGTCGTTATTATCGATACAGAGAACGAATTTATAGTTTTTAGAATTTTGTTCTGTCTGTCTGTGACCGCATCACGGAAAAATTAATGGAAGGATTTTGATGAAATTTAGTAGAATGATAGCTGATTATCCGAGTCAACATATAGGTTGTTTTTTAACAACTTACTCTGTTTTTTAGTCAAAATGTAAGTAGGAATGAACCCCAGCAGACCAAGATGAGTCGCTAATCTACGTACGTATAAAATAAATACGTATTACATACGTATTAAACGTACTTTAAGTCGTTGAAATACGTTCTCATAATGAAAGTGCAAAGGGCACAAAATTATATTTTAAAACAAATATCCAACGCTTACTTAGTTTACCAAGACTAAAGAAATCCATGAAATCCTCAATATTCCTATGAGGAGAAGTCAGAGTCTATGAGGAGATAAATAAATACAAATGGCGAAAACTACAAATCCCGGCTGCTAAAGCATCCGACCAAACTCGCGGGGCAGCTTACTATCCCAGAAAGCATCCACCGGTTAAAAAAAACGGCGTGACATTTTCGACCAGAACAGTCAGACAGAAGAATGACTTTGTAAAGATAGGGCAGACTCCACTGGGAGTAGCGCCTAACATGCCATCCGAACCATCTTATCTGCTCATAGTCTGAAAGACTGATAGCAAGATTTAATAAAAAAGTCCTTGAAATATCAGCTATCTGCCAGTGAAAGTTCCATCAAAATTGGTCCACCCGTTTCGGAGAATGTCCTGAATAAGTTCTTATAAGTACCATTATGTTCTTTCATATGTGTTTAGTAAAAAGTTGTTATTTAAACATTACAAATATACATTTCAATTTTTTTCATAGATGATTATCCAATTACAATGATGTTTTAAGACGTAATATTTAACTATACAATTGCTTTGCTCACTCCATACAAAACCTGCATGCGTTAATACACAGAGAGACATTATATGCGTAAATATTTTAATTTGCGTCTATTTTAAGCAATTATTGAAAAAAGAAAAGGAAACAAACCAACAAACGAGGAAACTACGATTAATACATTACCATATATAAAAAAAATTACTGCTGAAACCTAAAAGTCAATCTCTAGTACTAACTACGGCTATCTCAGCTTTCTATTTCCATATCTTTTAAAAAAAAATAAAAATAAAGTATTAATCACACGTCCGACGATGTCCACAGCTGCCGCACCCATTGTTCGCCCTGGACGTGGAGCAAGCGCTGTGCGCGCACGACAAGTACCCGCACCTCCGCCTCGAGCTGCTGTGGGACCCCGCTCATAGAGACAGGTACTTAGACTTTTGGTTACTATTGTTTAATTAAAGTTTAATCATTAATTAAGCCTTTTTATTTCTTTAATCAAATAACAATAATTAATAGTATGTTTATAGAGTATGCAATTAATATATAACAATTTTATAAAAATAAAAAATTAAATTTCTTTAAATAGTTTGTACAAAAAATAAACTTATTATTATTTTACCTCTCTATATAGTAAAGGATATCTCCTGCATTTTCCTCCTCTAGTTTAATTAAAGTACCTGACGATTTTACAAGCGACTTTACCTTGTTTCGCTCGGGTGTGTCTCGGGGTGTCTAAAATTAGCCTCCGTCTTGGCCTTCTCCTCATCGATTTCGACAACGGGGGCTTAGCTCACTGAGACTCATCCGCCGACCGCCAGCTTCGTAATCCTACTCTTCCGAGCTACTGCTGAGATTTTTTCAAGAGAGAAACTCGATAGGTTAACATTGGCTCGACCCGGGACTCGAACCCGTCCGGATCTACAGTCGTACATGCCAGCCACTAGCCCACCAAAGGACTTAAGAGGACAGAAACTTATGTGTTACTCCCACGTTTCATTAAATTTTATCCCAATCTTGCCAACCGTTTTAGACACACACACACAAACACGCAGACGCACACATTCCCTCGTACAAAGTATCGCATGCCTGTATGCCTGTGTGTTGCAGCGTGCTGCGCTCGGCGGGCGAGGCGTGCGAGGTGCACGTGTCGGCGGCGGGCGCGGCGGGCGCGGCGCCGCTCACGCTGGCGGCCTGCCTGGCGCACTACACGCGCGCCGAGCGCCTCGCGCAGGAGGACGCCTGGAGGTACAGCTCCGTCCACTGACGCTTGCAGTCATAGGGCTCGTTCATGTTGCTAATGCTTTACTGCGGAATTATAAATAATTTGTAATAAAATAAAATCATACGAATAAAATCAACGAAGTAAATTTAACTGTATTTTTAAATATTTGTATACATTATTTATTAAGTTTCGCTTTCCGACGTATCACTGTCATCTCCTACACTGATAATAAATGAGGTAACTACACGCGAGACGTCTGACCGGTACAGAATGCAACGACGGATTAATTAAGACTTGCACTGTAATCGCGGCCTAAGCGTCTTATCTGCAACCTATCACGTGTAAGTGCAAAATGTCAGTGCTCGGTTCATTCGGCGAATACAGTATAACGACTTATATTCGATTTACGCGAGTTATGTTTATTGATCCATTTTAAAAACTCCATATTCTAAACTAGCGACTTACATTAGCTTCGCTCTTCCCTGGGCGCATTATATAAACCATGTTATGTTACTCAAGGTCCATATTCTACCTTTTTGTACTAAATTTCGTTTCAAATAAAAATTAGTTTCATTTGAAGTATCAACGTAATATTAACGTAAAAAATACCGTTATAATCTGAAAAAAAATCTAGAACTCTGAAAAAACTTGATCTAAAATCGTGCATTACCTATAAATTAAAACTGGAGCTAAAAAAATATAGGAAAACAACTTAATTATACCAAAGACATGGAAAAGTAAAAAAGGAAGAAATTATATTGTATTCATTTACTGCAAATAGAAACTATCATCAATTCGAAAGCTCCTCAGTTTCCAAAATAATAAAAAAATCTCAGTGGGACTAATCGGCCTTTCGCCTTATTGTAACATAATAGGTTTAAGTAAGTTTAATAAGGCGGGAGCTCCATTGTAATAGATAATAAAGTCATGAATGACTTTAAAATGTCTCATCTATCGTCTCATCCTAAATATTTACATGTAATTAGTGTTCATAATTATATTTTAATGTTTATGTAATGCTACAGGTGTCCACAGTGTCAGAGGTACATGCCAGTAGTCAAGACACTAGGCCTGTGGTCTCTTCCTGATATTTTAGTAATCCATTTGAAGAGATTTAGACAGTGAGTATTTAATCCATTTTATTTTTTAAACATAATCACCATTCTTTGTTGTTACATAAGGGTCTATTCACATTTAGTGGTAACTGGTAACCACATATCAAAGTAACTTAATATGACCGCTATTTCATAAAGAGTTATATTTATATACCAAACAAGTCTTTTTTTCAATAAATTAAGCAACATTGTATTTAAATTATCATTCTATACTTTTGTCTATACGATTAGACAGATAGTTATAATATTTAATGAACAATTCTTGTATTAACACATCCAGGTAAATTTCTAACAAATTAATTAAATTTCTAAGAAATCTATTGTTAACTGTAACGCCGCGCCGGCGTGTCCGCGGTCGTTGACGGATTAATATTTTCGTTTTGTGTATCACGGAAACGGCTCTAGCGATTTGTATCAAATTTTGTATTTAGATAAGGTGTCTTTTCTGAAAAAAACTACAATAAAACGTCCAGCTAAGAATATAGTAAACTCTAAAAGTTATTAACTTATGCTGTTACAAGTCCCTCAAAAGAAATATTACAACTTCCTTGTAATATTTGTTTCTCGCCGCAGTTACGTCATCATTTATTGTATTCTTTTTCAACGTTATGTTCTCGAGTAAGTTCAGCTGAAATTTTGTGGGTGTGAATTACCATACCATAGCCATGCCGAGATTCATCAGAATCTATCCATCAATTTTTAAAATAATTAGATAAAAATTTAGTAGTAATACTCGAAACTGCTATTGAGAATTGCTTTTTAAAGATAGATTTTTAATCCGATTTTTGTATTTATATTTTCTATTCGGAAACCAGTGCTGACAGCACAATAGAATTCACAAAACAGCTTTAATAGTATTATAACTATTATATATGAAATATTCACAATTAATGTATTCTTTACAGGCAAGCAAAAGGCCGGTTAAGTACAAAACTAACCACAATGGTGGAGTTCCCGATCAACGACTTTGACATGACGCCACACCTGGTCCGTAGAAGCGCGGCCGCCGGCTCGCCCGCGCGGCGCCGCCCCGCGCCCCCCGCGCCTCCCGCACCTCCCGCCCCGCACAACATGTACGACTTGTATGCAGTCTGCTACCACCATGGCGATGATCTGGAGACTGGACACTACACAGCTGCCTGCAAAAACCCCTACGACTCCCACTGGTACAAGTTCGACGACTCCCGAGTTACTTCAGTCGATGATGATGATGTGTATACGGAATTAGTGAATAATTCAGCATATATGTTGTTCTACAAACGCAAGAAACCGACCGTTGTGCACCCCTGCTCTACGGACGAGGGTGGGCATTGGGCGCTCAGGATGCCGAAGTTCAAGCCTACCGAAAACCTAAACGAAATAGCCGAAGTCAAAGAGGAAATTGAAATCGCCAAATCTGATAATATTGAGACGGATATGGATACGCCTAAAGAAAATCCGTCGCCATCCAGAAATATATCGAGTATATGCGATAAGGAACCCAGTCCGGTGAAAACGAATGTGATACACAGCACTACGACGATCGTGCAGTCGGCGATACTTCAACGTCCTCTCATAGTGGAAGTAAACGGTGATATTACGAACGAATTAAGCGATTATGAAAACGAGTCAACGATCGAGCCGTACATTCATAAGGATGTTCATGTGAACCCAAAAATGACACCAGTCGATACGAGGAGACCGAAGTCTGTCGATTACCCGACCAGATCGAGTACGTCACCTTCATCTAGAGATTCGAATAGGAATTATGAGAGTTCTCCCTTAGTAGCAAGTATCAACGGCGTCGAGTACCATCCCACCACAGAGGATCTCATGCTGTCCATGTTCCAAGAGTCCAAGTACATAGTGCCAAGGCACCATATAACTCAGGAATCTCATAGGACAGGTATAAATGTTTTCTTTTGAGATATGTATTTTAATATGACAGTATTTTAAGGAATTTGCTAAATATTAATCTGTACGTATAAACAAGTTATGTCAAGTATTATAACTCGCGTCATCTAAAAAGAACGCTGGAAGAAAGTGGAGAGGGTATGTTTGCGTATGGGTGTATACTCGCGCACAAAAGTACTAAATCTATTGTTTTATTTTTCATAGCATTTCGCTTGCGGTTTCATATATTAGTTATTGGTAGGGACATTGAAAAATATATTAGATAGAATATCATTAAATAGAATTTTATTCATTATCAAACATGTTTGATTCAGTGCAGAATGTTTAATCTACTTACAAAAAATTAAATTAATACGTTTAATATATTTTTTTATTATTAACTGCATTATTATTAGACTCTCTCTTTGTAAAACAATATACGTCGAAAACAATTTTTCTCTTTTCTATATATAAAACCATTTCGTAATTAAAAACTTTTGTGTGCGCGATGGTATTTCGAACTGACGAACCAATAGCGCGCCCGCCGCCTCGCGCCGCCCCGCGCCGCCTCGCGCGCCGCTTCTTACCACCAATTTGACCGATAAATCGCTTCTTGCAGCTCGACAGCCAGCGTTCTTTTTAGATGACGCGAGTTATACCTGCAATGAAACGTTGATAGAATATACAATGTTGTTTTACACGTGGTATTAATTATTATTATATTTTTTTATATTTTGATAATTTCATGTGCAGCTATATTTTTTTTGAAATAATAGTAATATAAGCAATATTTTTTTCAGGAGAAAAACCTTCAGTGTGGAAGACTAGAATATCCACATGAGAGCAGCTGAAAACTTGTGTAGTGTACAGAGAACCCTATCCCTTATTTATTTTAAATATGCCCTTAGATCTGAGGATTCTATGTAGTTGACTGTTATGTTTTAATTATCATTAACTATAGACATTTTATTACAAGTTATTGGGAGAGTATTAGAAGAGTGATGGAAACTGAGCCAATCTGGATGCTAATGTTTACTATATAGGGAACATAATATCTAAAATAATATTTGAACAGTAGTTGAAAATCGAAGATCGTTGAATAGTTCAGATATGAGTGAGGATTTTTGAGAAGTACATATTAATAGATTGTTTCTAAAACTTATATAACTTTTAAAATTCATCTACATAAACCGTTTTTTTAATAACGAGCTTCCGATAACGAATTAAAAATTCCTTTCAATATCCTTTAAATGTTAAATATAAGAACGTTAAATATTATTTTATCAAAGTGCTAGTGATTTCCGTTTTATGGTAGCTTGCGTTTTACTCGAAATTTAGTTGATAAAATACTCGTAAAATATCTATGCCGCTTTGAAGTTTGCTACAAAAGGCTGTGCAGAAGTGAATGGTAAAGTCTAGTTCAGACCAGTAAAGTTATATAGGAGTAGTGTAAACTGCTAGGCGTAGCGCATTGTGGTGTAGAGAAAGTAGCAGAAGTAGAGAAGTCGGCTGTAGTCTTAATGTCACTACGATACCACACTTGTGCCTTGGCTCTAGGGTGTTCATTTGTGATTTTTACATCGTACGATACGATTTCCTGACGTACACGATTATGGAATATTTATATGAAATGTAATCACGAGTCATCATATACTTATGTTTGTAATAAATAATTTATTTATAATTTAATGTTCTGCGGCATGTTTCGACCTCTCCTAGAGTCTTAGGAGATAAATATATGAATATAATTATGTATATAATGGTACATATAAATTTTGGGTCATATTGGCAGCTTTAAATGAGGCTTTAAGGAAAGCCTTGTTTTATGTGTTTTTCTTATGTCTTTATGTCAATTTGTCATTCAGAGTGTAATTTGAATATAATATAAAATATTGTATATATATGTATGTATAGGGGATACCCTAGATTTTGTAATTTAATGTATAATTATATATAAAAGATACATTTTTGTACCAAATGATATACTCGGGTTGAATGAAACACCATTGTAAATATCGGTGACCTTTTTTTAATAATGCACATAGATAAGGATTGCCACAATGTGATTTTATAAATAAATTTTATTAAATTTAATTTTTATAAAAGACAGGAATAATAAGTGTAATTTAATCATGTATACTTGATATATTTATTTAAGGTGTAAAATATGAAAGTGATTGTTACTTACTTATCAGACTCGTTTGAAGTGTCAATCTGCAGTTGAAACTGGTTGGTGTCGAATATTTAGTAGGGGTTACTCCTTCATCATTCATACTCATAAATTGTATCTCTTTCATAAATAATAATATGATATACATCGTTCATAAATATTAAAGCATGTTTTAGTAAGAATATTAATATAATTGGTAAAGTTATAAATAAAACGGTTGCCATAGCGACCAGATTGAAGCCCCATTTAAGAATATTTATAGTTATATAACTATAAGTAAAGGAATATCGTGTCTTACAGCATTGTCTCAGCACTCTGGAAAATCGATACAAGTCGTATTTTATTTGTAAATGACTGGCTCTCATTTGTTTTATGTTAGAGAAGATAAACGGCCGATTATATTATTTAATTATAATGTTAAAACCAACAGTTAAAAAGTACTATCGGATCTCTACTATACCTAATAATAACATATTGTCTACATAGAAGGAATTAAATTCCTATTATTTGATCGGTAGTTTATCTTTTTATTATATACTGTATTGCATTCGTTGTTTTAATTTAAAAATGTTTATTTTATTTTACTAGATCACGTTATGTTAAAATATAAGTGTTATGTGCACCTCAAATTATTTTCTTTTATTTTTTAAACGACCTCGTCTTCATTAACGAACATTAAACTAAAATTATATAAATAATTTCTCGATCTTTTATTTATATTAGTTTATTGTTTTGTTGATATATACAGACTATTTTCATATATATGACTTAAAATAACAACAAAGCATTACGCAGCCGTTTTTGAAGTATTACTTCTTTAGGGGTAACCATGGGGTATCATCATCAAGGACAAAAAAATAGTTCAAAAATATTCTAAGTGAAGGGAAAAGAAATAATGCGCCCGTGAATCAAATTTGCGTAATTTTACTGATTAATAAAATAACAGCATTCATACTAAGATGGGTTTGTAGTGTATTCACAGATAGCGCTTTTAGTTTTTATGAATTGTTTTTCACGGTTAAAAATTGTTTAAATAACAGATTTTTTTTTATTCGAATGCAGAATATTTACCATTCGTTAGAACGCACATATTTATAAAATAAAACAGTTTAACTACTTGTGATCAACATTTATTATCTAGGTACTAGCAGAACCCGCGGCTTCATTTGTAAACATATAAACGATAAAACTAAAAAGGTAGGTTTCATACAAACTTTCATGCCCTATGGAATGAATTTTGAAAAGTGCTAAAACACGTATTTATTTAATTGTATTTTGTTTAAAATCAAGTTTCAAGTAATTCTGATCACAAATATTTTTTTAGGGTTGTAATATAACGTGTTTTCTCGTGGGAATGAGATAATCTACTGCGGTAAAAAGTACCCTATGTCACTCCCCAGCCCTCCCAACTATCTCCACACAAAAATCACGCTAATCCGTCATTCCGTTTCGAGGTGAAAGAAGGACAAACAAACAAACAAACAAACAAACAGACTTTCACATTTATAATATTATATAGTATGGATTCAAGCAAACAGAAATAGCCCGAAGAAAAACCCTGTTTTCCAATTACAGAGCATAATGCCGCACTTTGGCGCACAAACACGAACAACGCGAAAAAACACTTATTATATTTTCTGTCACTGAGTTGCGAGCATCACGCCAAACAAGTACTTTTGAACCGAAATTGTTTTTTTTTGAAATTTCTTCAAAAAAGAGGAGTTTGTCTGAATCTATTTTTTTAAAGTGCTCGATTGTGCGGACCGTTACTGAAGTTGAAAAATTTGGAAGTTGGGTATTATGCCGCATAATGCGCTTTAGTGCTGTAATTGGAAAACAGGGTATATTATAGCCCGAATTTGCGCTGTCTACTTTCTTTGTATGGGATGAGGCATCTGTACAAGTATAGTATTATGTGATCTGGGGCACGTTACTGAGGGTTTAATATACTGGAAAAATGAGTGTCGCGGACGTAAGAGTCAAAATTATTAATAATAATGTATTTAAAAAAAGTATTATATATTTTTTTATAATAATATAATTATTTTATTTATAAAAATATATACCTATTTATTAATCATAATTTTATAATAATTATAATTTGACGACACGTTTGGCTCAGTTTGTAGTGACCCTACTTGCTATGGCAGTGGTCGCGGGTTCGAGTCACCCTGAGGGCATTAATTTCTGTGATGAGCACAAATGTTTGTACCCCAGTCATGGGTGTTTATATTTATAATGTTTGTATTTAAAGTTATATACATATGTGTAGTGTATATCAAATATCTGGTATTCATACCACAAACCTCGTAGCTTACCTTGGAACTAGATAGTGCTGTGTGTTAATGTCCCAACATATTTATTAATTATTATTTATTACTAATAATTTTATAAAAATATTTATTTATTTATGTTCTAATTTAATTGCGGTATCTACTACAGCGCCTAAGAAGTTTTACTTCAACCACTCGTAAAGGTCACACGCATTTTTTTTTAAGTACCACAGTACAGCTACGAAGTATCGTATCAGTTCGATGCGAGGGGGATAAAGCCATAGCCCAAGTCCACCACGGTGGTCAAGTGCCGGTTGGAGGACTTCACATGTCTTTCGAAAACTATAATATAAGATCTACTGACCGATTTCGGCCAAGGCCATCTGCGCAGGAGATATTATAGTGCACAAGTGTACGCGCAGACACAAGTGTACTCTCTATTCCTCTCACTCATACTCTGGTGGGGCGACCACTCGACACGACCAGTGAGAGTTAAGACGCAGGACCGACAGTTTTACGTGCTCTCCGAGGCACGGGGGTGAAACACCTCCAACTTCCCAATTCCGGGTTGTTACTTAGGCTTAATAAACAGAAAGAATCAATAACTAAACTTGCCCCGACCCGGGACTCGAACCCAGGACTTCCGCATGTGCAGCCGTACATGCTTTTTTTTTTTAACGTTGGAAAATGCATTTACGCACGAAGTGTGGGACTCACCGGCGAAGCCAGTACTACCCACTAAAACCCAACAAAACCTTCCCCCGTCTTAATGGGGCGTCGCAGGATCGCTTACGCATTCAACTACGACGCCCCGACGGCAGGTCTGCCGAAGCAGACCACCACAACCATGGGGTTGCTCCAAGGTCCACTCTGCTATCAGAGAAGTACCAGGAGCACCCCCATGGTACACCGCCCACCGAAGAGGGCCACCTCCCACCGCCCACCGAAGTGGGCTACCTCCCTGTGCGTTTCTTGGCTTCGCGCCCGGTTGGGTTGCCGGGCACTACTGAGCCCCCCCACCACGACAAGGTGAACGCACGTTGGGGGGGGGGGGGAAGCCGTACATGCTAGCCACTTCACCACCGAGGTAGTCAAAACTACTAGGCTATTTTAAAAGTTATTAATGTTTTCTTTTACCGTAAAGCTAGTTATAGTTATGTTGAATATTATTCGCCCCTTAAAATATCGGCTCCGAGACTTCGATTTATTGTAAAAGTAATAATAATTTTAGAAGTTACACAGATAAGAATCTGTGTACTAATTATTTCATCTAAGTCTGTCCAGCCGAATTAGCAACAAACATACACATTACAATATAATAGTACCATCACGTGTACGTAGTTGCAGCTGACCTAGATCTTGGAGAATGATATGATAAATGGAATGGTGACCTTA